CTTCTTAGTTCCGGCCAGCGCTCCATTCCATTGAAATACCCTATTACGGTGAACACAACCGCTTGACACCCAAGGACCTAGATAGGGTTTTAAATTTGTAAGTAATTTATTTTCTTTACGTAAGATTGGTAAAATACCGGTAAAATACGGTAAAATTGGTAATTTTGGTAAAAAATGGTTTTATCTCTTTAAAATAATGATTTAAGTTGGTTTTATTATTGTTTACTACTTTGAGGGCAATATTTCGTACTATTGCCTTTATTTGGTTATGTTTCTGAGGTAAAACGTCCAATATTTCTCCCCAGCACGTAATTAGTTTGCGTTTGTATTTTGATGTGATGACAGTGATGCTGACATCTAAATAGTAAGTTTTGAAAACTTATGTGATATGTTTGCCAATGACTATAATTTCGTTTTATTTTGTGATTCTTGGTTACCTGTCCAGTGTTATACATAGTGAAGTAAACACTTAGTGTGGTTTTGGTTTTGGTGCCATTTTCAGCTTTAAATTTAGCTACTTTGACTTTCTTATAATAATTAAAGACATGTTTCCTTCAAAGTAAAAGCGTTGTCCTTAAGACACAAACGACTAAACCTCTAGTAGTAGAAACAAACCTATGCCTCGGGAAACCAATTAATTCAATTTTACCGATGTAAGTAAAAAAAAATAAATTACCCGGTATTTTACCGTAAATTACATGCAATTTTACATGTAAAATTACCGGACTTAAAACCCTAGACCTAGACACCGATTCGAGGACGCCCTATGTGTTTCTTCCTACCACCGTCCTTGAATCGGTGTCTCGGACCTTGTAAATCAAGGAGGTGTTTTTATCGTAATCAGTGTCATTCGTTTCATATTTTCTGCTTTGAAAGAACCATCTATATTACAAAATTCTTTTTTACCAGATGATGAATTCTATGTAATTGACCAATGCAATTCCTGCAATGTTACCGGCAAGTACAAGAGATCATTTCTTCATTAAAGTTAAATTTGTACTCTAATTACTCTGCAATAAGCATTCCCTGTTACATCAGAATTTCAGAAAATCTAGAAATTTCAAAGTAGTGTTTTTACTTGGGGCCTTTTGTGTAGCCATCATTCATTTTGAAAAATCATACTGGTAGCTTGGATAGTTTTCATTTAACCAAATTAACTTTAATCAGTTTTATTTTCTATCTCATGTATCTATTCTGTTTTCACTTTTCTGGAGTATTTATCGTCAGTTTCAGTAACTACCCAAAGTAAGTGATCTTTTTATCCTGCTAGATAAAAACTGCATTTCAAGTCTATGGCTTAAATGGATGGGCATCAAATGCCATGCAGGCTCAGGCCCTGGGGATGCACCCATGAATATTGCAAGGACGGGCGACTATTGTCTTGAGCGGAGCGATTGCGTGTTGTGTCTGTGTGTTTGTGATGCTTTTGGTGTTAGTGTTCGTCATGCCACGACGCCGAGCCAAGCTGGAGAAATTGTGCGCGTGCAGTCAACGGCCGGACATCCTTGCTGTCCATAGGGTAAGCACGTCAGGACCGTTTGTGTTGGAAAGTGCAGATAGGCTCCACCAAAAAGTATCTCGGGAAAGAAATTCGTCACGCTTTGGTTTGGGAGTAAATCGGTATCAACTTGATTGGTTGGTGCTGAGACACTTGATGGACATCGGCGCCACCTCGGCAGCGGCGCAGCAGCGGCGCTTCGGCGGTGGGGCACGTCGTTGTGAAAGCCTGACGGGCCGGGAACATCCATTTCGTTGACCGTACGCGGTTGAAAGAAGAACAAAAACGGAAGATGGAAAGGAGCCCGCGCCGTCCCCCTCTCCTCGTCTGGGCGAACTGGAGGGCAGGCGGGGAGGAGTGCGGGCGCCTTTCCACCCTCCGTTTTTGTTCTTCTTTCAACCGCTCCGGGCTCCAATTGAATACCGTATACCGTATTACGACTGCCTGCTCATGCAATCCATTTCCATTTTTTAACAGCACATGCTGTCGTGCGCCGTACCGTCTTGCGGCTACGTGCCCGTCAAAGTTGAGACGCAGGCGGAGAAGCCAGTAGGCTAGCACCTGTACTGGGCGGCGCTACCAGGAGCAGCCACGACCCCTGCTGCCCAGCGTTCAATGACCCGCAGAGGTGCAAGCACGGAAAAGAAGCCTACAAAAACATCATGGTGAGTATCACGTGCTTCGTCTAGCTGCACGAGGGCACGGGCACTAATTTACATTTCTGTCGGCGGTGTGGGGCGGGGTGGGGCGGTGTGGGGCGATGCTGGACCAAGACCGAGCAGAGCAGGAGACGGTGCTAGGAGCAGCTCCACCTTAATCGTCGATTTTTCCTGTTTTTCAGGACGCCTCCCAGCTCTTCGATGGCCAGCGGAAGTGTTATTCATCCCTGCCTTCCACGCAGTAGAGGTTTGCGACCCGGTGGGTGGAGGTCTTCTCCGTCAAAGTCGCCTGGAAGGAGCGAGAAGCACAGGCAGGTGACAGTGCTGGCCCACGACGAGACCCACGCGGCCGAGAGCGGTACGGCGAAGTGCTGTGGGAAGGCCACGTGCACCTCACTCGCGGCACGGATGGCCAGCGCTTCAGGACGTCCTTCATAGAGACTTCATGCGGTAATTGTGTGCCACAGTTGGCGTCTTCGCAGGGCCAATGAGTGGTAGTGGAAGTGACCCCTCTGAGAAATGCATGTCGTAACGACACCGCGTCGACGCCCAAGCGATCACTTTGTAATCGGGTGGGTGACGACATACGCCGTTGCGACACTCATTTCTCAGAGGGGTGTAACTCTGTGTTTCACCCATGGGCTACACTCAGGGATAACCTCGGTCTGCAGTCTGGCTCTGGTGTCACATGTGGCCCTCCCCCGCACACCGGGGAGCGGTGGCGTGGCGTCGCGCTATTATTAAAGCTGTTATGTATTTATTTA